AGCGGGGGAACTCCAATGTAGGAAACACAGAGGCAAGAATTTAGATAAGAAGAAAGATACATAGATTTAGCACTGTGGGGATGGGAACAGAGGGAAGCATTTGTGCACCACAGTTATAATGTATTATTTCCTATTTGAAGCTGTGAATTTCATTTGTGACCATCCGGATATCAGAGCAATCAGCTTTGTGGGATCTAATCAGGCTGGCGAGTACATCTATGAGAGAGGATCCCGGCATGGCAAGAGAGTCCAGGCCAACATGGTAATGCCTCTGAATGGAGCACACTTCAGCACATAGACTGCCTCTGTCTCCTGTGAATGTTAAGAGGGATCACACCACTCGGCAGCAGAAGCTGACTTTGCTACTGATAGTTAAGTGATGAGGCTGCCCTTCTTGCCAGCCTGTTGGTAGCAGAGTCATAGCTACTATATGAAGATACTGCCAGAGGGCTAGAGAAGAAGTGGGCTGGAGTGGTTAATAATGGGAAACTGTGTACGTGTTATATTTCAGGGAGCCAAGAACCATGGTGTGGTGATGCCCGATGCCAATAAAGAGAACACCTTGAACCAGCTGGTTGGAGCTGCTTTTGGAGCAGCCGGCCAACGCTGCATGGCCCTGTCTACAGCAATTCTGGTGGGAGAAGCTCAGAAATGGCTGCCAGAGCTTGTGGACAGAGCCAAAAATCTACGTGTAAATGCAGGTACAGACTGTGATAATTTCTTATGAGGTACTTCACTTCTGTACAACTGTAGCTTTTTAGGTCGGTGTATCTGCCATACTATGGTGCGTCCCTTGGAGCTATTGGCACCATAGGTTTGATGTGTAGGGGTAGGAGCTAGCAGATTGTCTGGATTGGGAAACACAGCCCTAGACTTGGAGTTAGGAATATGTAGGAAGGCTTGGCAGTATGACTGTGATGCAAGGTTACAGGATCGGTCTTGTTTTAACTGGAGCTTTCAGGTTATGTCCTATGTTTAACTCAAACCTACCATTTATATAGCAACCTCACTTAGAGACCCTTCCAATTTGTAGTAAGCATGCAATAAAAAGGAAAAATGGAAACAAGTACTTTGGAAATCTAGACTGTTATTAATTCTAGGAGAATTATCTTTTGTTTATGTTCAATAAAGTCCTGCAAAGGGGAGAAGTTTCCCTTCTGAAAAGAATCTGTTGTTGAATTTTGGCTTCCCAGTGATCTAAAATTATGCTTGTGCTTACGACTTCTCTTATTTGGCTATTACTTCTGTTCATTAATGTCTGAAATCTTTGTTCTGTGTCTCAGAAACATCAGAATTTTCAGATTTTTTGTGCCAGTGTAGTTATCTCCATGATGCCTGTGAAGAGGAAGCTGTCAGGGTTAAAAACTTGGCATCTCTGCCTCTTCACAGGAGACCAGCCTGGAGCAGATCTGGGGCCTCTAATCAGTCCCCAAGCTAAGGAACGGGTTTGCCATCTGATTGAGAAAGGAGTAAAAGAAGGTGCCAGCCTTCTTCTGGATGGACGTAATATCAAAGTGAAGGGCTATGAAAATGGCAATTTTGTTGGGCCAACGATCCTTGCCAAGGTCAAGGTAAGATGACCAAAGCCAGTGCTTGATAGTGTATATTGTAGTGTCAATTGAAAAATGGGTTAACCAAATCAGTCAGTAATCAATAATCACCAGGTGGAAAGCCTATAAATGGCTCAGCCTTCCTTTGCACAATTGCAATGAAGGGCTCATTGGAATGCTGTTGTGGAGGTGATAAAAGAATTTGCAGTAGTGCAACATACTCTGAATGAGGTTAATGATCTTAACTTGAATGGATTGCAGCCAAATAAAAGAAGATACGGGCAGTTTGTACTGTGTTAAACTAAATGTCCGTCGAGCATAGTGTACTATCTGTAGTAGCATAGCGTACTATCTGTAGTAATGGCCAGCAGCAGATGCCTAAGGAAGAGTGTGATGAACAGCCAAACTTGCCATTTTCCTTCCTCCGTTATACATTCCTGCAGTTTGCAGTTTAAGGACTTGCAGAAACAAAAGTTAAGTATTTGTGGAAATCTTCACGAGAATAATATAGGATAAGGTACAAAATCTCTTTGTTGTTGAATGTATTCACAACTTCATTGAGTCAGCCTCTCAATATAATGCATGGTGTGCAACAGATGGACACTACTATGGGGGAATATTCTTTACCAGCTACACATCCACATGAGTTTTCATACCCAAATTCATTCTTCTATGTTTATGCAATTAGCTGGTATGATTTCCTTAATATTTAAGTATTCGATTCCTCGTGGGCCTTTTGGTGAGTGATTGCATGATAGCAAACCAATCTTGATAATTCTGCTATTGTACTTTGTATTCTTAGGATTTTATTGATTTTATGCTATTATATAATTCAGACTTTTAATCTCTCAGAATTTTCTTGCCTTATTTTCATTAAACAAAGTACTTCACTTTCCTCTGATGTGTCATAAATATTGTGAGGTATTCAAAAGTAAAAGTTTCACTGAGATTTTGTGATTCTTAGTTTTCTTATACAGTGGTTAAGCCACGTAAAACTTACAATTTGTCAAATGAATGTTTTGTAGTTTGCTGTATTAGCTATTAGTGATTAAAGTACGCTCCAACTGGTGCTTTTGTATTTGTCAGATGTTGCTAATTATCAGACATGAATCCTGGACACTGAGTTGGAAAGGATAGCAGATTCTAGTCATTTTGTCAACAAGAACTGAAGTAAACTATCCTGAATTAATCCCCGTCTTAATCGGCCTTGGTCAGAGCAGACCTGTAAGTGAGGTTAGGCAGGCAGTAAACGCAGAAAGCGCTCTGGAGATGAGAAGTGGTACCCTCTTTAGTGAACTAGCTAGACGGCAGGGCATGGGAAATGGTGAAAAGGCAAGGAGGACTGAAGGATGGCCCGTGGCAATGCAGTACGATGGGTGATCCTAGGAATATCCTGAGCATTAGCGGCATGCGTGTTTATTATAGCCTATTTACTAGGATATTTTTATTATATCCTACATACAAGCTGCTTTTTCTGCTGTTTGTCTTGGCAGCCAAACATGACTTGCTACAAGGAGGAAATCTTTGGGCCCGTCTTAGTGGTTCTGGAAGCAGACACTTTGGATGATGCCATTAAGGTGGTGAACAATAACCCCTATGGAAATGGAACTGCAATCTTCACCACCAATGGAGCCACAGCTCGGAAATATTCTCACTTAGTAGATGTGGGGCAGGTATGTTCAAGCTAGAATTGTTGCTATTAGTACTCACCGTTTACAGTGGGTAGCCATCCAGCTGTAGTGACTAATCACTGACTACTCCGCCAACAGTACCCAGCCTCAGATTTAAGGAAACAAAATGCAGTGGGTTTTGGAGAGAGCTCTGCAATCTGCTACTTCTTGTGATTAATATGGCAGCTTTCCTTTGGTTTAGGTGGGTGTCAACGTTCCAATCCCAGTACCTCTGCCCATGTTCTCTTTCACCGGTTCTCGTGCTTCTTTCAGAGGAGACACCAATTTCTATGGCAAGCAGGTAACTTACTCATACAGAGTACTCTATTGGGTTGAATTGTGATAAATCACATTATAAATGGCAATGGGGAGGTGGTCATCAGACCTCATTAGTAAGGAGACTTTGAAGCCATCTCAATCAGGAAACTGAAGACCAGCCAGTGATCACAGCCACCATAATGCATGTTACAATAGCCAATTCCTTTTTTTTTTAAATTAAATATAAAAAAGCAAGTCTTTTTTTAGGAGATTTGAGAAGGGAGCAAGAACTAAGTAGCAAGCTTTCTCACAGAACCAGAATCTTTGGGGAACCGGTAGAAGGAACAGGCTGACAGGAATTGTTCCCGCAGAGGAAAACTCAGCCCTCTGTACACAACGCAAAAACTGTTTGATACACCACTAGTGCAGACCTGAAGAACTCGTAAGGCCAAACATCTGCTGCTTGTGTCTCTCCTTTCCTCCAGGGAGTGCAGTTCTACACACAGCTGAAAACTGTCATTTCTCAATGGAAAGAGGAAGATGCCACCGTTACCAAGCCTGCTGTGGTTATGCCAACTATGGGAAACTAAATCAGCCTTTGCAGATGCTGTTCCTGGTACGCTTCTCCTTCTATGCTGCACTTCCCAGCTTTGTCCTGACTATCATCATTTCCTTGGGAACGAATAGACAGCTCCATTTTCTCAAGGACCTCTGTTTCCGTGCCGATCAGGCAGGCTCATGTAACGCACAGTCTGGGTTTTCTGTTGCTGTCAGTGTTTTTTGGCTAGCTGAACTCAGTTTTTTTCCTACAACCTATCACAGAGGAAACAACCTTGTCTAACTGAAAGGGCACACAGTGAGATTGTTCTTAATTTTTGTTTCTTTCCAGACCCTCTGAACTTGAACATTACTCTGGTTTCCACTTCAATATCTTTAGCCTTAGTGACTCACTCCTGGCTACATCTTGTAGCAGTTTTCTTTACCTCTTTATCTTACATCTTAAGATTTTGAGTTCACCTTACTCAAAAGATGAGTACTCATTTTGAGTGACATAACTGGGACACCTTGGGTGTCTCGTAGAAGTGACTACAGACAATGAAGGCAGCAAGTTTGGGAGTTGAAAATGTCAGTCTTTCATCTGTTGAGCAGTTTCCAAAACACTTGGGAAATAGCTTTTTAAGGATTTTTCAGGAAAGCATGTTTGATTGCTTGTCTGAGGGTGAAAGAAATTCCTGTATGGTACAGTGACATTCACCGTGCCTCTGACAGCTTGAAAACTTCTGTTCCTGTTGTGCATGTGGCTTGTATTCTCCAGCTCGCCGGCAATTCCGTTATACCTGAAAGTTGTTTGGTGCCTTTTTACTGCGCTAACAGATATGTGCCTAGAGGTCCTGTAACATAATGAAACTGTGGAAGCAGAAACACAAGCATGTATACGTATCTTCGCGTCACAGCATCATGTGGGTCTGGGTGGAAGGAAGAGTAAGTAGATGGGTCAGTAGGAGGAAAGAACACGCTTTTTAATCACAAAGCAGCCAGGCCTGTTCTCTTGGTTTCTTTTCCTGACTATAGCTGTATTTCTTGTGTTGATTGATTGACTCCTTGTCACACTCGCTCAAACACAGTCATATTCTCTAGGGACTGCACGTCCCATTACTAGAGAAGGGTAAGACTTGCTATACCCTGTTTTTAAGAATCTGTGCATTTGGAGCTGGAGAGCCTGTATTTTTATTCCTGGTTCCTGGAAGATGATGCAGCCATGAGGGATCTGCAGGGAACTCATTCAAGCACCCATGGAAAATAATATTATTCTAATGATTGTAACCATTACTTGTTCTAATTAAACAACCTGAATGTGAACACTTCGTATCCTGCCTTCTGGTGAAGATGCCTTGTAACTGACAGTTATGTATTAGTGCAATTGCTGTGCATTCACTAATGTTTATATCTTGGTTTTTTTCCTCTGCTATACCCGAGAGGGAAATTCTCACCTCGCAATTTGATTACGAATTAAAAACGTGCTAATACATTTCTGCAGAATACGACTGTTCCTTGGCAAGACATTACATAGGTGTGATGTTGACTATTCCCCTCTTTGCAGAGGCTGATCTGTGACTCCTGTAATCCATGTATACGTCTGCCTTTTACAGTATTTCAGGGACCTCTGTACCAATTTCCTCATACAGCATTTCAGGGAATGCCTTGTTTCTGTTTCCACATACACATCATTCGATCACAAAAACTCTTAAGCTTCGTGTAAATTACTCTATTACAAACTGAAAATATATCTTCATCAAATTATAGCAACGTATATAGAGACTTCTAACCACTAGTCCAAATCCTAGTGCTTTGTACAGGGTCATCCGAGCTCCTGGCTTGGGAAAGAATAAAATCTTTACTTTAAGGAGGAGGAAAATAACTACATTGCAGATGGATTTCAAACGCGTAGTCAAAGCAGCAGTGCAGCAGGCAGGGGATTTAGAATGCGCAGCTTTGCTCACAAGACACCTTCCCAAATAAAAAGTGCAGATGAGTTGGTAATTGCTGTGGCTGTCGTTCATGCAACGTGTACAGCTGCCTTACTCTGTCTGCAGTGTTAACATCTGAATGTGCGGAAGGATTACTGCAGAAGATGATGAATCTGATAATTCGGCCTGCTGTGTAATGAATATTAGGTTGGGAGAAGTATTTTCTGTGCCGCAAAGGTAAAACATTCTAGGTAAATCACCATTAAGACATTGGCATTCATTCATGCACCTGGGAAAGGAATACTAATTAACAGCCTCTAATACTGTCTACAGCCATTGGCTTTCAAAATGCCTTAATTTTCTTCCTAATCAGTATTGCTATTCTGACTTTTCTGTTGTCCTATTAAAACCCATTATATCTTTCCTTTAGAAATTCTAAATCCAGCTTCTCCTGTAACAAAAGTGGTCTTTATTACCAAGCTTACCTGCTCCCTGAAGAATTGCAGGAGTACCCTCGCACTGTCTCCAGACCTGTTCTAGACACTTGTATAATCTTTTCATTTGTGTGCCAACATCTTTTCTGATTATCTGCATTTCCAACAGCATTTTTTAAACAGATGGTTTTAAATGATTGCACTAGAAAGACAAATCTTGTATCTGCCTTTTTTAGTTAATGAAACGCCTTTTTAGATCAAGCTGCAGATGCTGGTTGATCAGCTCATTGCTGCCTCAGCTCACTGCTGTTCCACCCGCCTGTTTATTCTCCTTTTTATTTCAACATTCACTATAAAAAATTAAGCTAATGAATATATCTTCTATATTATACAAAAGTATAATCTAAGTATAAAGTATCTCATAATAAATTTCTTTAGACTCTATTAAAATACAATTTTATAGTCAACCCTTTGCCGCCTATTAAAAATTGTTTCTTGCCTAGAAGGCACTGCAGTCTAGATTCTCAAAGCTATTTGATACTCTTAAGTCCAAAAATTGTGTTAAAATAGTTTAACCACCTTTGAGAATTGGGCCCTTTGGCTTCCACTTCTGCTTTTTTCCCCCTGCCTGTGCAAAAGAAGGCTACAACCCCCTTCCACTCCTGTTTCTGTAAGTGGCTGTCTGCCTCTCCAAAGGAGGTGTCTCTCATCTTTCCATATAAATCCCTCCAGGGCTCCTGCTTATGAACTTTATCTGGTCATTTGACGTCCGAGTATGACATTTTGTTTTGTGTGCTTGACCGCCTCATGTTGACATAATGGCATGCCAGAACCCCTCCCTACGTATTCCTCCAGGGTAAGTTGATATTGCTTGCCTTGGAGTGTTATAATTAGCGATATAGTTGTATCCGAGTCTGTATCTGAAAATCAGGCATACGAATCTTCGTCCTGGTCCATTTTCTCTAAGTGATTCTATACTGAATGCAGCATCAGCTTAATAGATTTTGCCTTTTAATCAAAACTCGCTGTGCTAGCTGAAAATGCATCTCCTTGTGCGATCATGGCCTTTCACAAGAGAATCCTCCAAAAATAATAAAGCGCTTTTCAATAAGAGGAAGCTTTACGGGGACATGAGATCAGTTTTTTTCATGAGAGCCTAGTCTAAATGCCTGCTGCTAAAAGATCAACATGACCGGAAATTTCAAAATAAAGAAAAAATTCCTCTCTCTTGTCACACATACATTTATTTGTATATAGACACACTAATATAGATCTTCAGAGAAACCAAAGTATTGTAAAGTGGGAGGGATGACAGAGAGACAATTGCATCTGTTTATATATAACCAGGACTGAGGAGATTTTAGGTAGTGTGGTATAATTCAGTATCTTAGCAAATTTTCCTTTCTTCTTTAGTATCGTCAGGAGCTGGAGCTGAAGTAGCCAAAACTCTGGTGGCACAGGGCAAAGTAATCCTCATCTAATGGTGATTTACGCTCAGCCAGGCTTCTAATCCCACACCATGCTTGTTTTCTAAACCGAACAGCAAACAAGGAATGCCAGGGCACCTGAGCTATTGCAGTACACTCCCCAAAATCCGCACTATGAATCAAACGTGAGTTCACTTCACTATGGAATTCTGTATTTTGTGGCAAAATCATTACAATTAGAAGGGAATGAGGAGAAACAAACAAATCTTTTTTAAAAAACTGGGTTTAATCATAAGTCGACTTAAAATGAAGTGTCTGTATTCCTTTGCTTGAGCTTTCATACTCTACAGCTTTATGTGTGCTCTTGTATGTTGGCAAATACTGATAAAAGGAGTTAAACCCATGCATAAATTGGAACCATAAAAGCTGACAGATGAATCACTTAATTATACATTTCTTACTTCCACTGTAATAACCCTAACAAAATTTCCTAAAATTCTATTAATGTAACTTTTGCTAACAAAATTTAAATTTAATTTTTAAAAAATTAAATAAACTCTTTTAACACAGAGAAGCTGACATTCCACCCTAAGCATTAGGTCTCCCCAAACGACATTAAAATCATAGCATTTTAGATTTCTCTTTGGGCCCTCTTATGCCGCAGTTCACAGATTATAATATATTTAATGCTGTTTGAACTTTGAATTTCCAGTGAAAGCCGTATTTTAGGTATCTCTAAATTCATGCTCCCAAGTTTCTTATGCAGACAGCAATGAGCCATAGAGTATGTACACTTTTAATAATCTGGTTGTGGATATTTGTACTTTTTAATACTGGGCAGATTGCTTTATGGTACTCTTATTAAAAGGAAATATATGTGGGGAGTGCAACTGTCACAATATACATTATTTCCTTGTTTGGTAAAGATGGATAGGGATTCATTAATGACTGAACAAAATTAATCCCACTACACTGAGCAAAATTAATTCTCCTCACTTCTCTCTTCCTCAGCACTACCAAAATTTACTTCCACTTGCTTTTCTTTTGATACTACACACAAAGATCTAACAGTATAGTCTGGTGCATGTCCAAAACCAGTATATAAGGTATCAACTTTTTCAAAAGGTCAAACCACCTTTTTCAAAAGGTTAAAGCATCTCACACCAAGCCGCAAAGTTAGCTAGATTCCTATGTTAGATTCAGAGTTTCTTGGAACCCCCTGACCTGGAGTTATCAGCCCAACTCCTGTAAAACGAAAAGTTCAGCATTCACCTACTGAAAAAACAGAATATTACCATGGATTTGTGCCATTCATTTTGGCAAAAAGCAATCGCAGAACACGTTCTTTTTGTTCCCATGTCAACTCACTGATATCCACTTTTTCGAACTGGATTTTTTCCCTGAAAAACACAGAAAAGATCAATGTATTAGAAGAAAACGTCAAAGGCATCTCTCTCACGCATTCTGTATGTGTAAAACAGGTTTTAAATTCTAGCTCTGCATTGTTCTTGTTCAGCTATTCATAGCATGCAAATTCAAAAAATAAATCTGAACACACAGTGCTGTCTTTTCGACTTCTAAATCTATGGCTCTCTAAACTAAGTGGAACAAACCCAGTGATTTCTGGTACATGTGTAGTGGTTATAAACACTGGGAGGGGGAGGGTTATTAGTGTATGAGTTTCAAGTACATTGTCCTTCCCTTGCTTCTCCTGTTCATATATAAAAGGGTCAATACATATAACCAATTTTCATTCTCGGTTCCAGTCTCCCCCTTCTGTTGCTCCAAGAAGCTTCCTTAGATCTCAATAACTACTTTCACCTCTGATTTTTCACCAAGTGTTTCTGCTGTATCATTTTTGAGATAAGATAACCTGAACTGAACAAAGCATTCCGACCGATTGTGTGTCGCCAAGTTATTCAATAGCCAATGCACACTGAGCAAACATTTTATTTGGGAGGAGGAGAATTTTGATCTCTCACCAAGGATGTATGCAAACTTCAGCTTTGAGGGACCTTAACTCTATGGCTTAAAATCCAAGTGCCTGGACACTGCTGCAGTTTATAGGCACAGATTTCTAGCAGGAGGTTGGAGACCTGTAATCCTGGCCACTGCGGCATGTGTAGTCCTGATTTGAACTAAGCTGCATCCTAATACAAATTCTGAGATACTCACACTTATAAATCTGAGATTTTGTTTTATTCGCTATAAAATGTAATCCTGTCAATCAGTACTGTACTGCATGTGATCTTGTTTTTGATATGTCAGTGTTTATTTCATGTAATGGCGTAATTTTTAGATTATTACGAAGCTTGAGGAAAACAACCTTTGAAAGCACAATGCAAAGCTGGGGCCTCTGACATACAGAAGAACAGTTGAAAAAAGACTGGATTTGCCATCTACTGGATGTTTCTGTTAAAATGATTGGCAGCATAGTAAAGAGCTGTTAGCATCTTAATTGTAATTTTTAGGCTTCAGTGTTGTTGCTCACTGGAGTGAGTAAAGAACAAAAGAGCAATGCCAGAACAGCAATGCCTACAAAATCAAAAAGATTAGAGAAGCAACAATAATTATTAAAAGGAAACTGCAGAAGCACATCTGTACTGGAAGTTCTATATCAAATTCCACAGCACATGGCAGAATATGCAAAGAACTCTTTTGAGCTTATCTTTAATTTAATCCATAGAAATAATGACCAAAAAGTGATAGCCTAGTTGAAATTAGGTGCCCACAAAGTCATGACTAACTGATACGATATTACACCTCATACAGTTATTCTCACTACAGAAGCCTCCACAAGAATTCCAAGTCTAGGCAATATTATCACGCAATGGGTATTTTTCGGGTGTGCTAGGAAGATAGACACTAGTTTTTGATGTTTCAATACCAGTAGCATTTCCCTGCTTCCTCTAGGTCTCTGTACACACTATTTGTGCTATTTATGTTGCTTTTGAATGTTTTGATTTTGGGAAATTCTTCCTTCCCTGCGCAAGCCTCCATCATTTTTCTGTAATAGGCAGTTTGGGCCTTTTTCTTATAGTGCTTTCTGCTGGATATGATCTCCTGCTTCACATGTTCCAGAGCATCTAGGAAGAACCTTTCCACCTCAGTCCTCTCATTTAAGATATTCCGGGCTAGTTTCTTCACTCGGTTCATCTCCCGATCCTTCATTTCTAGTAGTTGCTGCAGTTTCTTGATCTCCACCATGCTTGCCTGGTTTTCTATCAGTGCCTGATGCTGTGTTTTCTGAGACTCTCTCACAGATTCTCTGGTCATGCGACATAAGGCCATCTCCAGCTTTTCCACTTTACGCTGCAGATCTCCAATCTGTGCTTTCTGGCGATTGATCTGTAGGACCTTTTTTCGAATCAAACCCTCATTGGTTTCCTAAAAGATGAGAAGAAATTATTTGGACTTTTATTTCATTTGCACCAAATCTGGAGGTGTTCCCCCCCCCAATACTGACAATGTAGTAAACGTGCTAGCACCTTCACATTGGAAAGTGAATACTTCTCTGGAATCACGTTTTTGTTTGCAAGAGAAGCCAGATAAAGGAGGCTTGGTATGTAGTATACATTACAGAGAGACCTATTCTTAATGGGCTAGCATAGGAAACCCTTCCTTCTTTCTCCTCCATAATTAAGATTGAAGAAGAGCTCTTCTTCAGACAACTCCGAATTCAGTAACTGCAGAGGGGTCTGGCTGGGGAGAGGTTAGTCTCAGTAAATTTACATCTGTATCCAGATGTACCCCTTCCTGGAGGAGAATGAAACAGAATTAAAACCAGAGCAGAAACCTTCTCCTGTAACAGAAGAGTTTTGTCCTCTTCTAACTTCTGTTTGATTTTCTGCAATTCCATTATCTCTTTCAGCTGGTAAGCAAATGCACCGTGAAGACGAACATTCTTAAACACCTCTCTCCCAGTGCTGTTCAGCTGCCTGGACAGAGGGAAACAAAATCCAAGAGCTTTAATCACAACCTTTCTTGCTTTTTTTATATTAAAATCAATACCTCAGTGTCCTAATTTCAGAGCTAAACTGTGAAATTCTTACAGGTCTGTACCAAGTTTTCATAGCTTTGCTTCTAGTCCTGCATCTGGACTGGGAGAATGAAGAAAACAGCGGTACCATTGTGATAATATTACCTCCAGTTCTCCCCTGGAAACAGCATGAGTCTTACAGTTTAAATGTAAGAGCTGACATCATCTTGATATTTGAAATATAAAAACAGCCTAGGTCATCACTGATTTTGCCCTTCAAAGCCCATGTAGTAACATGGACAACTTATTTAGAACACAGTGCTAAAATGGTTTTGTAAAGTAGAAAACAGGAAAAGCAAGTGTTTCTTACAAAACAGCCTCACGCTGGGCAGTCTCTGCCATCATTATTTGCTTTTTCTCAACATCATCTTCCAGTCTTTTCTGAAAGGGAGAAAAGCCTGTTTAAATTTTGGATGAGACCTGTGCTACTGAAGCTAAAATCTCAAACAAACAGTGTAAATTCTAAAATCACACCCACAATTTTCAGCTCACCCAGCTCCTTGCTAGAGAAAGAATGAACCCCCGAGGGCACCGAAGTATCTGATGGAAGTGGAGAATACAGCCTTTCTGGGATCCTGACATCCCATGTTTTTCCTTGGAAAGCTGCACCCAGCCTCCAACTCATTCATCATACTTGTATTGACATGGGAAATTCTAAAATGCTCAGTAAAGAACTGTGAAAACTATATAAACCGGAGTAGCCAGTGGGAGAAGTAATTTTGTTCTAATAAAGGTTTCTTTAACTGCCTGTCAGTCTTTACCTTTTCTTCAAGAAACCTCCTCTCCAATCTCACAACCACTTCTTGATGTCTCCTATTTGAAATCTCCATACTCTCTTTTAACTATGATAAAAAACAAAATTTCTTTAATAATGGCGTTCTACTTCAGCCATATAACTAAAAGTGTGGATGTACTCTGCAAGGAGGAATTTGGTAGTCTTTCCTGGCACTGCCCACAGTCTTCATCAAATTTTTACACTATCTATAAAATTCACTTAACCTTCTGACTTGTATTATTGCTTTGCTTCCCCTTCATAGTTCACCTGTGCCCGTATTTTCACATCACTGTCAGTCATTCACACACACTCTGTCACTCTGTTTAATGCTCAGTTTTAGAAATCTGCTTTACTTTGTCTATTCATTCAGCCATCAAGATCAAAGTCCAACGCCTCAAGCGTTCTTTGAAAAATGCCTGACTAACTTGCATTTGATATCTTAGCTTAAAAGCAGCTATATATTAATAATCCAAATGCTGTTGACCAATCATTTGTCTCCACGGAAAGAATTTGGTGTTCTAAGTCCGTTCTTTCTTGTGCTTGAAAAAAATTCCAGTATATTAATAATCCAAATGCTGTTGACCAATCATTTGTCTCCACGGAAAGAATTTGGTGTTGTTTCTAAGCCCCTTCTTGTGCTTGAAAAAAATTCCAGTAGAGCTGAGTCAGCAAGACACTTGAATTGCTCGAGGCACTTTTTTCATGTCATCAGTCAGCTGGGATACTTTTTTATACCAGGCTGAAATGTTTTACAGGCAATACTACTATTTAATAGTTGTATTATATCTCCAAAGTATCTCTGATTAGGTCATGCGCTATACAAGTGCTTAGTGAAAGACAGTCCCTAGTTTTATATTCTAAATGGCTTATGTGGTTGAAATGATGATACAATACTAGCATTCACATCCTAACTGAGCTGATTAGTGAGAAATCAGTCAGTTATTCTGCTTACAGTCAATTGCTAGGTCCTCCATACATATCTTTAAAGTGTGTACTAGATGCTCTAGTCCATCCACGTATGTTTGTATGTTTCCATGTCACTGAGTAAAAAACCAAAAACAATCCTACAGCACTGGACCATTACAGAAGTCACTTCTGGCTACAGAACTCTCATTTTATCAACCTAGTGCTTTTCCTCACTCTCTGTAAACTGTAAAGAAAACAATCCAGTAAACCAGCCATGTCTCTTCTCCACTCCCAAACTCTCTGCGACCATGCAGACAGAAGAGTTGCTTTTTAAATAAATATTGCAAACACGTATTTGTGACAAACTTACATCTTCCAGCTCTTTCTCCATAGCTGCTTTCTCCCTGTGGAACTCCTTTATTAATTTCAGTTCTAATTGAATTTGGCCAATTTCTCCAACTTTTTTCTGAAACTTCTCTTCCAGTTCTTTTATTTGTTGGGCATAACAGTCTGCCTGCAAATCAGAAATTCTCAATAAGAGGAAAGCAAAATGAGAGAAACCAATCATCAAATACTGTAACATAAAACACAGAGCACGCCAAACTGAACGTCTGAAATTATGCCGAGCTGCAGTGTTTTAAAAAACACAAGGAATTCATCATTAGAAGAAATGCTGCAAACTCAGCAGAAGATGCCCTCCAGTAAAATAACAAGTCTAGAAAGGAATAGTAAGTTTAAAGCAACGTGCATAATATCATTGTATGGGGTTTGCGTGGCCAGGTTTTGGTAGCAGGGAGGCTACAGGGGTGGCTTTGTAAGAAGCTGCTAGAAGCTTTCCCTGTGTCCGATAGAGCCAATGCCAGCCGGCTCCAGGATAGACCCACTGCTGGCCGAGGCTGAGTCAATTAGCGACAGTGGTAGCACCCCTGTGATAACATAGTTAAGAAGGGGAAAAAAACTGTGGTGGAACAACAGCAGCAGACAGAGGAGTGGGATACATGTGAGAGCAACAACTCTGCAGACACCAAGGTCAGTGAAGAAGGAGGGGGAGGAGGTGCTCCAGGCGTCCTGGTGAAGACCATGGTGAGGCAGGCTGTCCCCCTGCAGCCCATGGAGGTCCACAGCGGAGCAGATATCCACCTGCAGCCTATGGAGGTGGAGATCCATCCCACGCTGGAGCAGGTGGATGCCCAAAGGAGGCTGTGACCCTGTGGGAAGCCCGCACTGGAGCAGGCTCCTGGCAGGACCTGTGGCCCCATGGGGAGAGGAGCCCACGCTGGAGCAGGTTTGCTGGCAGGACTTGTGACCCCATGGGGGACCCACGCTGGAGCAGCCTGCTCCTGAAGGACGGCACCCCATGGAAGGGACCCACACTGGAGCAGTTCATGAAGAACTGCAGCCCGTGGGAAGGACACATGTTGGAGAAGTTCGTGAAGGACTGTCTCCTGTGGGAGGGACACCACACTGGAGTGGGGGAAGAGAGTGAGGAGGAAGGAGCAGCAGAGACAACGTGTTATGAACTGACCACAACCCCCACTCCCCATCCCCCTGCGCCACTCAGGGGGAGGAGGTAGAGAATTTGGGAGTGAAGTTGAGCCCGGGAAGAAGACAGGGGTGGGGAGAAAGTGTTTTAAGATTTGTTTTTTATTTCTCATTACTCTACTCTGACTTCTAATTGGCAATAAATTCATCTCCCCAAGTCGAGTCTGTTTTGCCCATGACGGTAATTGCTGTCATCTCCCTGTCCTTATCTCGACCCATGAGCCTTTCGTTGTATTTTCTCTCCCCTGTCCAGCTGAGGAAGGGAGCGATAGAGCGGCTTTGGTGGGCACCTGGCATCCAGCCACCACCACATCCATCGTCTATAGCCTTTTCTGCTCTTTATAATCTGAGGGCGAGAGAAAGTTCCTTGGGGAGTCAATATCCTTGGGAGATAACTGTCTTAAAGTGCAGATGAGCACAGTTTTGTGTTTCTTACTGAAGCCAGATTAACAAATAATGATTTTCTCTGTTCTTTTTAAGAATTCTTGTTCAACAGTAATGAATGAAGGAGAACTAAAAGAATTTAAAGTCATTATTGTTTATCTCAGTAAAAATGAAACATGTTTTTGCTGTGCGTCTGGCCTCACCGTTACCCAGCTGGTTCCTAATACTATTTCAGATGCTATAAAATATTCCTACTACTATCTGAAATAATACTACAGAGTAATGGGATAACTCCCACATCACCATTGGTTTTTTTCAAGTTCTTTCTTCATGCAATATTTTTGCATCAAAACCTGTAACAGTTAACTGCCCTAGCTTGTTCCTCATACTAAAATCAGAACTCCTTTTCAGCCTGCTCAGACGATCCCGTTCTGAGGACAAAGAGAAAAGTTCATTCACCAGCTGCTTCTCTTCTCGTGCTTGCCATTTCAAATCAATCCGCTCCTGCTTCAGTTTCTCAATCTGTGAAAAGAGAAATCAAGAAACAGTAACGGGTTGGGAAGAGGGGGGGAAATATCCTTGCTGTGTTCTTCTCTTCAAATTTGATTATGAGAAGACATAGAAAGAAGGGAAAGGTCCTTTGTTTGCAGTGTTCAGGTCAATTAAACCATGTTTAAAACTGTTTGATTTGTGTTAAGCATAGGAAATAATGTAAGCTTAAACTATAAAAACCCACCTGTATTAGATACAAAGAGATCTGTGACTCTACTGAAGAATTGAAACTATGTGGACAGCGGGGTTTTTCCCTTACTGTTTTGGATAGTGGTGCAGTGTTAAGAGAAGTAGTTTAGAAAAGGAGAAAAAAAGACAGATACAAAAACAGGCAGCTGGAAAAAGGTCAGAGTAAGATCTTCTATACTGCATAGGCTGAAAGAAAACAGTGGGACGTGAGCAAGAAAATTGTCTACCATTTGACCGTACCAATGTCTTGGAGATGAGAGCTTTGTATCTTCTCATTCAACAAAGAGGATGTTAAAATAATTTAATTTCAGTTTCCTTTTTCAGTTTCTTTTTCTAACTGAAAACGGGTTTTGCTTGGTACTTGGATTTAGAAAAGTAGGAATAGGACTAAAGTGAAATAATCTGCGACAGAGGAAATGGAAGCCACAGCATAGGGCTTCTTTTTCTTCATTGTGTTCTGAGTAGACTTTGGCTCTATTTTCTCTAAAACCTTCTCCAGGTAGCTAAAACCAGTGGGTTCCCCCTTAGCTTTCTCTTTTTTCAAGCTGCTCAAACGCTTCAGCCTCTTCTTGTACACCATGTGCTGAAGCCCCCAAACATTTCGGTACCCCTCCCCGAATTCGTGCCGGTATATTCGTGCTCTCTCCCTTGTACTGAGGGGGAGCAAAACTGGACGCCGTATTCCTGTGTGAGGGAGCAGGTCCCGGGCAGGGAGGGCACCGGGGCGAGGCCTCCCTCTCGCAGCCCAGCCCGCGAAGAGCCTTCCCGCCCCAAGGGCGCACTGCTGCCTCACGTTCACCCGGCCCAGCAGGCGCTCCGCTCGGCTGCCTGTCACCGGGGCGGGGGGGGACGGGACGGGCACTGGCAGCGGGGAAGTAACGCCGTCC